TTTTGCTGTTTGGGGTCGAGGCTGGTGTAATCTGAAAGTTTCAAAAGGAACATGATTGTGTGAGGGATACTGTCCAAAAAACTGAGGGGGAAAAACGAAAACCCTCGAGAAAACCCAAAAACGAAAATACCAACCTCTAGGGGGGCCAAGTGGTTCTAACACCTGAAGAGCTTTCCAAAATTGTTTCATGTAGCAGAGTCGATCGCTGCGCTCCTGAGGAGCATGCGCGTGAGATGTAGCATACTGCTTTCCTTACATGGAAAAAGGGGAAGCTGTGCGCACTGCAGGAAGCAATTGCAGAGAGATGCTATCAAGACGAAGCAGGTGCAGTTGAATTGTGGACATGTCTTGCCAATGCCAATCTGCATCCATGTCAAGTGTCTACTCCACTGGACACTTCGCTAAATCAAACATCTGCATTTGTCACCAAGCAGGCAAAACAGCCCCCATCTGGCAACCGCAAAACATTTCAGGACCTGCAGCAAGAAGATAGGCAAGCAATTATTGCATCTCAAATGCACCAGCCTCACACTAAAAAAACACACAGAAAACTAGGAAGAAACAAACGGAAGCCAAAACAAAAACAAAAAAACTCGAGTAAACCAAAAAATCAATCTTTGGAGGTGAATCATTGGTTTCGCACCAAAACGTTGTTTTTGTTGTTGTTGTTTTCTCGATGTTTTTTGGATTTTTTGGTCTCGACCACTCAAAAACCAAAAACTCGAGTGTTTTGTGGTTTTTGGTGAGATCATACTGTCAAAAAGCAAGAAACCCTTGATTTTTTGGTTTTGGGTCTCAAGCATTAAAAAAACTTAAGGGTTGTTTGGTTCTTGGGTAGGTCATACTAGCAAAAAAAAAACCTTGAGTTTTTGTTGGTGGTCGAGACCAACCAATCAACAAAAACCATCGAGAAACCCAAAAAACAAAGTTTTGCTGCAAAACCAAAGGTTCTTCCCCATCAACAAAAACCATCGAGAAACCCAAAAAACAAAGTTTTGATGCAAAACCAAAGGTTCTTCCCCAGAGATTCCTTTTTGGTTTTCTCGAGGTTTTTTCTGATGTCTGTATTTGTTGAACTTGTTTGTTTTTTGGATGCGGTCGACGTTCAAAAATACTGTGCTTTCCAGTGTTTTCGAAAAGGCCGTTTTTCAGTGTCTGTTGCACCTTTTTTTACTTGGCTTAGTAAAAAACAACAAAAGCGCATGTGTTTTTGCTATTTCTGCATGTTTTACATTTACTGGCCTCCTATGAAATCTAACCAGAATCTGGCTTGTGGTTTAACAGAGGAAACCAATGATAATTCTCATGGTTTATGAGGTTCGAAACAGTGCAAGTGGATCATGGGGGGGTGACTATATATATATATATGTCGCATGTATATTGTTTTTTAATTAAATATGTGCACAAGGTCGCTGTGATAAATGTTGGACGTTTCCTTGAAGCATGGCGAGCATTTCCGAGAACAGAGGAGATCCCCAGACCAAGCATGACATGGCATGAATCACCAGACCGCCAAAACCTGTTTTGCTGTCACCACTCATATTCCCATGATTGTATTATATGGCAAGCTTGCATGTTACAATACTACTTTGGAGTACTTACAAGACGAAAGTGTCGAAGAGGCTCTTCTCTTTGGTTACGCATCAGCATGCATAATCACAGCAACCATCAGCCACCTGAGACGGAGTGATTCCTTTCAACTCACCGTTTGCCAGGTGTCACTGGCGGTCGCGTGCAACCAGCTGTTGCCACCCTCCTTGATCAACAAGCTGCTGCAGGCGGTAGATGTCGACTCCAACTCTAACGACTCGAATGCCGACTCTGAATCCAACTCGTGTACAGTTGACTCGTGTCCAGCGCCTGGCACGGGCAATCGAATCATTTTCGACTTATGAGTCTGTCTTTTTGACCTGGGGTCGGTTGGTACGTTAGTGTTCGCCTGGGTAATGCAGGATCAACACTCGAGTTTTAATCTGACGTGGGCAACTGTCCGCGGCAAGAGATTGAGCAGTGGCTTCCCGTGATGTGTCCTCGAGATTTCATGCGGAAATTTCTTGGATGCCTTGAGTCCAGAGCATACCATCCTAGGCCGACAGGTGGCCTTTTGTTACCCAGGATTTTCTGCCATTGTTGAAACCGTCTTCTAGGTATGGTGCGGCTAAGCGCCGTCTCTGGACCAGCTAGAAGCCTGTGTGCCATCACACAGAGAGCGCATGCGAGGAATTCGCCAACTGGAGAGGCCATCTCCCCAGTGGGACACATAATGTTTGCTGTCCATACTTGTTTGAGGTCAGTATGGATGGGTTCAAATCGTTCCACACTTCACCGTCAGCTTCACAGACGCGCGTGTCGCATGAGACAACAGCGGCTGCCGATGCTTGTAACTGCAGGAGAAAGCATGGTCTCATTAGCTGCTGCGCGTCATGTGCTGGCTGCCGCACTTTCCCAACCATGCGCAGCGCTTGCGGACAATTGGCCAATCAACAAGAATCGGAGCTGGCGCATGAAGCGTCACGTGCCAGCCCATTAGAGAGTCCAACTCACGCAGGACAGCGCCGGAGTACTTGAGTACTTGATTTTCCCATGTTTGCTGACGACACAGGAAAAACCTTTTCGTCTCAGTACGCGTGGTGCGGCTAAACGCCGTATTTGGTAGCTTGAAGCTTGGGTGCCATTCACAGCACAGTGCTCACAAGGATTCGGCTAGTCAACCAGACATTGGTGCTTCAGGCAACAGGGGCCATGCACTTTGAGTCATGTACTTGTTTGGAGTGAATGGGGATGGAGCGAAGGCATCAACTGCAGCGTAATTCCCACAAGTCACCAAGAAACATGGTTATGGGCTTAGATTCATGCATTTGCTGAAGGGGCATTTCAGAAGTTTGAATTGAGAAATCCTATCTCCCACACCACATGAGAGGTTTGTTGCTCAAATCCAATCATTGCTCCTGCACGTGCTTGTCTCTACTGGCACCCTGGCAAGAGAAACATACGCATTGTGGAAATTAGTTCATGTGTTTGCTCAAACAATGAGCAATGTCTTTTTTGGTGCGTGCTCTTCGGCAAGTGCTGAAGCTGATCGAAATGTACTGAGCATAGGCGAATCATGGGTAAATTATGAGCATTGCTCATACATGTACTTGCATGTGAGCACGTAGCCATTGAATTAATTCCTGCGGGTTTCCGTGTGATGGGTTCTGGTCATTTTTTGTGCTGTTTCGGACAGCTGACCTGACCCCACTTCTACTTATATTCCTTGGAATCGGACCGCTGCTCAACTTAAAAGGATGCTCGATGGCGCTCACAGTTGTTCGGGAGTCTTAGTAAAAGTTAATCTTCGGATTGTGGCTGGATGATTTACGCATAGGTGGTGAGTATTGCAGAGCATGAATTGGCATTCCGAAATTTTATGATTGAAGAGGTTTAGTGTGGTTCTCTTTTCAAATGATTGGATGAATGGGGAATGAACATGGTGTTAGGATTTTTGTTGTTGGGAAGTATAATATTGAGTATTTTGGCGATAAACATAATGGATATATTTTGAAATGCATATATATAATAATAATAATAATAATAATAATAATAATAATAATAATAATAATAATAATAATAATAATAATAATAATAATAATAATAATAATAATAATAATAATAATAATAATAATAATAATAATAAATAATAATAATAATAATAATAATAATAATAATAATAATAATAATAATAATAATAATAATAATAATAATAATAATAATAATAATAATAATAATAATAATAATAATAATAATAATAATAATAATAATAATAATAATAATAATAATTAATAATAATAATAATAATAATAATAATAATAATAATAATAATAATAATAATAATAATAATAATAATAATAATAATAATAATAATAATAATAATAATAATAATAATAATAATAATAATAATAATAATAATAATGTGGTGATTATGTGATATTATTTGTTTTTGATTTATTTATATGAATATATATATATAGTTGTTTTATGTATTTATTGAATAAAAGTATTAAACAAAATGATATAATTAAATATTTTGTAAATATATTTAAGACAAATAATATAAAATATATGTAGGTTAAATGATATATATATATATATGTTGATATTTTGTTGATATTTATATTTGATATTAAGTAAACAATAATAATATATCAAGTATTTGAAGTTAAGAATCTTTGATTGGAATGATTTCTTTTGTTATTCTCCTACATTATCCTATATTATTATCCTATATTCTCCTATAAACCGGTGCGGCCTCGGGGTCGCATTTCCCATGCACCGCGGAGCCGCTGCAGCGGTACCCCGGCCGAATCGTCGTGCTTGCGGCGAGCGGCTGTGCCCGTCCCGGTCCTTTCTCCGCGGCGCAAGCTCCTGCCTCTTCGCGCAGCCCGGAAGTCCCCGAATTTTGCTCTCAGATCTCCGGACATACCCCCCGCAAATTTCTTCACAATTTGGCGGCTTTCCGAAACAATTATCGGGCCAAATATTCGGCAAATTTGGGGACTTGCCCGAGGCGAAATTTCCGGAAAAAATCGTGACGGGCGCGTGGTGTTTACATGCAGTCGATTTGCTTTGTCGCCTGCATCCAGCTCAGGTCGCGAGCACCTTGGCTACGCTTCGCGACGCCCGGGAGTCCATGCGCATGAGGCTTCATTGCTCTGTTTGCAGAGTTTCCAGGTCTGCTGAAACCCGGCTGTTCTTGTCATACTCGCGCTTTTCTGCTGTTTTGCTCCCAGCTTTGTCGCATGCCCTTGCCTGGACTGCCGTGCCCGCAGGCTCCAGCGGCTCTGCTGGGCTCGGCTTTCTTTGCCATGCCGCCGCGCAAGCGGCGCCTCGGGGTCGCATTTCGCGTGCACCGCAGAGCCGTTGTAACGGTACCCCGGCCGAATCGTCGTGCCGTCGTGCTTGCGGCGAGCGGCTGCGCCCGTCCCGGCCCTTTCTCCGCGGCGCAAGCTCCTGCCTCTTCGCGCGGCCCGGAAGTCCCGGAAATTGTGCCAAAATTTGGGGGGGTTCTTCAGATCTTCGCTCAGAGTTCTCGCAGCATAGCCTGGCCAAATTTTCCAAAATGTTGGGTCGCTTCTGGCCACCCGGCTCTCACATCTTCTCTCTTTCTCTCTTTCTCTCTTTCTTTCTTTCTCTCTGTTGCTCTGTCTCTTCGTCTCTTTGTTTCTTTGCCTCTTTGTCTCTCTGTCTTTCGGTCTCTCTGCCTCTCTGCCTCTTTGTCTCTCTGTCTCTCTGTCTTTCTCTCCCTCTATCTGTCTCCCTGCCTCTCTGTGTTTTTGTGCGTCTCTGTGTCGTTGTGTCCTTCTGAAACAAGCTTTGTTATTTTAATATATTGTTAAAATAGTTTAGATTATTTTGGAGATTTTGTTTTGGTGATTTTATATAGTATATAGTTACATATATATGGTTGATATTATGTTCATCGATTATTGTCGCAAAATCTCATATAATGAATTTTGCTGTATTAATGTTATTTTGGTTGGAGAATATTATGTTTTACCCCACCCCCCGCCCCGTGGCGATGGCGAATATAAGTATTTACGAAAATATATATAGAAAGACCTAAATAAATCGGTATTTCATTTATAATTGTATTATTTATCTTGGATTAGATATAACTTTTCATATATATTTATAGATCAATATTATACAAACTAAGACATTGGAATTCTCGAATTAACTATATTTTTAGTTTTTAATACATGTTTAATTAGTATATTTATATGGTGATGATTTGAGATATCTAACATATAGTTAAAAACAATATAGTTTGATTTTTCATAAATTTCAATTTTGGATAGCAGTTTTGCAGTTTAACCAAATTCGCGTTTTGCAGCAGTATGGCGACGTGTGAGTATAGTATAACTGTGCGATTGTGCGCGCTTAGGAAGCTTGAGGGTTCCTCGGCTGAAATTGGTAGCGGAGACGGCTGAAGCTGGCTAGAGGTAGGTGGACTTCGCGGATGAGATTCGCAAGGAGTTGCTGGCGGAGGTTTGCGCATCAACTGCTGCTGCTGCAATCGATCCTGCTGGTCTTGGCGGAGACGCTTGGTGAGCATGCGCGGCAACTCGGGATGAGCCTATGTGTTGGTCATCTCTGGAGCGATGGTCAGACAAGTGGAGTGAGCCAGAGGTCTCCAAATCAAACTGCGTAAGCACAAATCAGTAAATTCATAGAAAACAAAATAACAAACACTAAGAAACTCACAAACTAGAACAACTCCCAACAAAAATATTTAATCAAAGCATACAACATTAAAATAATTGAAACAAGCATATCAACAAAACAACAAAACTCAAAACCATCAAAGAACCCAAACTCAAAAACACACACCAACAAAAAACAAAGCAACATACCAACCAAGAATATCAGAAGAGTGTCAAACAAAATAAAATACGCACGAAAAAATTGAAGAGAAGCACGTCGACGGCTTGCGAAGATACGGCGCGGGCCCTTGCTTAAGCCCGCGCTCTCATCCCGGAATCGTGGATTTCATCAAGCGGCGAAAGGAAAGGGCAAGTTCTCCAACACACACACACAAAAGCTTTTATGGCGATGAAAGGTTGCGCAGGAAAGCCAACACACAAGTTGAGTCATGTGTAGCAGCCTGAGTCATGTGTAGCAGCCGAGTTTGGAGATACCTGTCCCCAACGCACCCGCAGCCCAGGCAAAGGTCATTCCTCGTCTTCAGGTCACACCTTGGTGGTCACTGGTGGTGGGCGCAGCTTGGAGCTAACACTTTGGACAAGCGAGGGCGCCTTCGTTCCTCTACTGTCTGGGATGCGAACGTTGCAGACGTTGCAGGCGGCTTTTCCAACTTTGTGCGCAGAGTTGATTACTTATATCAGTGTTCGAGCACAGGACATTTCAGCTGACTGGGGGCACGCGCAGCACTTCCAGCTGGTTCTGAAATTGATGAGGAATCGGGCACGCGTGCGAGAATGGAGACCCGCAGCATGTTGGAGTTGAAGGTCGGTGTGAGTTGATGGATGCCTGACAGTGGATCAAGCTTTTGCTCCCTCCCGTCCTTCCGAAGCACCTTGGCGAGATGGAGATGGACCTGGCCAACATGCATGTCAACAAGGAGCTGGCGGTGGTCGGAGGAAACTTTGTGGACTTGCTGCACTTCGGCCAGCAGGAAGGGAGAGGGGAAGGGCTCCCCCACTTCTGGCTTGTCCCACTCGTCCAACTCCTCCTTTTCGCCCCTCTCCATCTTCTCTGCGCTCGTGCTTTCGTGCTGCTCGAGCTCCTCTGCGCTCGTCTCGGTCTTCAGCTTCTCTCCCTTCTGCGTGCGGATGGTCTCACCGTCGTGTTGCGCAAAACCGCTGGGCTTCTCCCCCATCTGGCGAAGCGTCCGTGGGACTCAAGGGCCGGGCCGCGCCAGCTGCGCAGAGTTCCGGCGCCGGCGCCTCCCTTCCACCAGGATCCTCTGACGTTCACCATAAAAACCAAAGAGCTTTGTGCAGCGCGTCTGGGGCAACGAGCCGTGCTGAAGCACGTGGACTAGTGCATGGACTATCGCAATCCCTTCACCCACAATCCAGCCCCGCCAAGAGAGGCCGAACGCTCAGGCGATGGTGACGAGGGTCATGAGCCCGCCGGCACCCCGAAGCGCCCAAGAAAGCAGGAACCACTTCGAGATCGCCACTGTGATGTGGCCAGATCCGG